TGGGGATGCAGGGGGAAAGAGGGTCAGGGCAGGGGCGGGGGCACAGGGAGGTGAGGGTGGGGATGCCAAGCCCTGGCAACCTCAGCGGCCGCGCTGGGCTCTCGAAGCCAGGTTGCAGCTGGGGTGCAGGCCATGTCCTGGCTGCCTCCAGTGCCTGCCAGGAGCTCGTGTGCCTGTTGCCAAGGTCTTGGGGCCGTGGAGCTCCCTCGAATGTGGACGAGTGCAGCTTATCCTCTGTGGAGCAGCGCAGCGTGGTCTGAAGCTGTCATCCTCGAGATAGGCCTGTCTGTTTCCAAATTCACTGGGTGAAAGTATTAACTAGTACTTGAGATGTTCATGCTGTCATTTATTATTCACTTTGAGCATGTCAAACCACCTTCAAATCTAGGTAAAATATTTACCTCATTTGAGAGGAATTCTTAGTGTGGGAAAAGAACAGCACTGCAAGAAGCTCCAGGCATTGCTACTGTATAACTATGGTGCAAATTACAACCTTCCCTCTAGTACGAGGACAGCTTTGAGGTAGATGCACCTGAGCTTAAGATGGTTGCAAGCTCTCTCTGAGCGTACTTGTTCTCTTGGGAGACAGTGGCAGCTCTAGCCATGAAGCATTGACCTGTCCTGCAGTCTCCTAGCATTGTGTTTATATTTTGCTGTGGCGGCTTTACATCCTCCAGCAGAGTGATTTGGTGGGCTGTCCACATACTCTAAGGGAGATTAACTCTCCTAAATTGTTTAAGGAGTCTAACACAATAAGATGACGGACAAAGTGGAAGGAGTGACATTAAGCTGTGAACAGGTCAGATCTGGACTTCACCTGCACTTATTCCATAACGAGAAATTGATTGTTATAAGCCAGTTTAGCTTCTGCTGCTTAGGCTGAGCGATCTGGAACTCAAAGGTTTACTTAATTAATGGCGATAGTTAAATTTCCACCATTAGTAAATACAAAGTGCTCCAAACACCTAATTAGCACAGTGATCTTTAGGTGAACTACACTGGGAACTGAGTATTTCTGTAAATAAGAACTAGGTATGCAGAATGGGATTCAAGTGCAATGAAGCAGCATTAGAAGCCAGTGAGATGCTAACTGTCATGCTGTTTCCATGTCTGACTATTAACGGTCCACATAAGTAGTCAAAACAAGAAAATTTCCATCAGTGTATGGTGTCAAGTCTCTAAAGTGAATTTAATTTGTACTTTTTTTTTTCTATGCGACCCTCAATGTTTTAACTTGTGTCAGAGAAGCTTTTTAGTGTAAAACTGGTCATGTGAAAGGAGTAGGCAGCATCAGAAGGTGTAAAATAGAATATAAAGACTTTCTATTTTGTTAAACAAGACCTTAAATATAAAATAGCTTTTCTACGAAGGTCAGTAAATTCATATTCCATTAAATGCCCAAGATCCCATCTGTGTTTGCCATTCGTAACAATATTTAATGTTTTCAACGTTAAAAGTATGCCAAGCAGTAGATTGGCATGTTCTGCAGCTGCATTCAGCATAGATAGAAATATTTTAATACCCTTGTAGAGGAAAGGAGTTGGAAACCATGTACCCCACTGACTTAATCCATGTAAGTTTTTGGTGGAACCCCAGCTGAGGTCTTACCAAGGACTACGACAACCTGCTACTAACAGATTTACGGCAATAGCTTTGGTGTTTGAAGCTTTTGGTATTAAGTCCCAAATATTTTATCCTCTGAGTTAGCTGACCACAAGATTTGTATTTTTAGGATACAGATCTCTTTCAATGCCAGACCAGAAAGGGGAGCTTGCAGCACGTGCACTGAAGAAAACACATAGTTAACCCAGCAGTTACCAAGACAGGGGAAACTTTTACTTTAACCCTTTAACTTTTGGTATTCTTCAAGTCATTGGGAGCTGTCTAAGTTGCTGGGATTGCAGACATCTCAAGTGGTTGTGTTAATAATTTTATGAGGGTTAGTCTACACTTCTTTGTGTGTTCAAATCGTATGGTTTGCTAAGACTAAGAAACTGGCTTTTGTGGAAAAGCACATTGTGCGTGTTTGGTCTGTGCAGTTCTGCGATGCGAGTTGGCTGAAATGTGTGCTTTCCTTCAGTGCCTCGTGATATGTTTTCTTTGTAGACTTGTGAATTTGCAGGTATATTCTGCATGGCAAGAGAAAACCTTCTGGGCTAGCATCTGAGGTTTGGCCCTGAGAAAAGTGACAGAACAAATGTTACACTAAAAGTGCTATGAGAAGTCTTCAATGAAAGAAAGATAAGCGAGGCCTTGAGGGCTTTTTTTTTTAGCTAATCTAACGACTGTGCCCTTCCCACCATGCAGCATATATGGAGTCAGGACTGAGGAGTAAAACTGCCTTTCCAAACTCCCACTTTTTTTTTTTTTTTTTTTAAATAAGTATTGCATATGCTGCTATCAAAATGCACAAAGAAGTTAGGTGTTTCCTCTCAAAGTCCTTAAGGTGAGAATTGAAAGGTTGAAACATTCAGTCACCTTTCAGGAAAAGGATTATGATATTGAAGCTATTAAGTTATTGGAGGAAAAAAATTGAAAATGATTAGCTTGATGGAAGAGATGTACGTGGGTAGTCCCCAGTAGGAGAGGTGGTGCTGCAGCAGCAGTGAATCGTTTCAGGAAGAGCTTAGGTCAGAGTCTACACTTCAGCATCCACCCAATCACAAGCCTTAAATCTGTAGCAGATCAGGATTCGTGTATTGTTGTTACTTGTGGAACTTTGTTTTACAGCGACAGGGGATTGGCGAACCCAGTGTGTACCATGCAGTGGTGGTTATTTTCCTGGAGTTTTTTGCCTGGGGGCTGTTGACCACTCCTATGTTAACGGTGAGTAAGTCTCCTTGGGAGTACTGGCTCTTGTAGACTAGAGGACACCTCCCGATGCTGAGGGTAAAGATCTTAATATAGGCTATTTGAGTTTGAAGTTTAAGAAATAGAAACCAAAAATGTAATGATTTGTACCTGAAAACTTTTCTGTATGAAGAAGCTGGAGTTATAGCAATTTCTTATGGAGCTTAGCAATTTTTTAAGTTATTACCATTTAGCCCAGTAAAACGTGAGTAACATTTTTGAAAGTTTTCACAGGATTTTGAGATACCAAGACTGAAAGACCTGACTTGAAAGTACTAGAATTTACTAGTAACTTACTATGACTTACTGCTTTTTTTTTGAAGGGAGGGGGATTAGAAAAAAAAAAGGTGTATGTGGGATCTTAATGAATGAAAGATGAGTTAGACTTTGACTTTTTTTATCCAAAGACTGCTCCTTTTGCCCTATACTGGACTATGGATTTACTGTCAGTTTTTTTAGGGATAAAACAACCTTTTGTTGAGCAACCAGCATCATTTCCTGAGGTATCAAAGCACAGAGACAGATTCCCTGCAATTATTTACCACACCATGTCATGCTGATTCTACAAGGTCCCATCAGTAATTCATTCAGGACTTGACAGTTATGATTAACGCAGGCAGCAAACCCAGCTTCGCAATGAAGTTAAGCACAGAGGATTAGCTTTATTAAAGAAACTAGAAATCTCATTTCAGATATTTGTCTTGAGTTAAGGAGCTGGAAACTTCTAATTTGGCAACTTCAGGAAGTTCTTTTTTTTTTTTTTTTTTTCCTGGTGTTGGTATGCCAAGCTCACGCTGAAGTCTAATGTGCCATGCATATTTTTGACCTGATGTCTAGGTAACTACACAAAAGGAGTCTTTGTTTATACAAAGGCCTTTAGAAATACGCTTAGTAGTGTAAAATGCAAATCAAGTGTATAGAGGGTACAAAAGTGAGAGGGAGGAACAGAAAAGTTATGTGGTTACATGAAGTAAAAACAGGGGGAAACCAGATGGGACAGGGATGGAGAAAGGCATGTGTCAAATTATCTCAGCCTTAGTAAAATGTCTGTGCGCTCACCCTGAACCGAACATAGTGGAATAATTTATAGGCCTGAGATGTATTAGAGAAAGTGGCTGCCCATGACTGAGAGATGAGGTGAATTCCTTATGTGATTATAGCAGTGGGATTGTCCACAGTGTACTTCCCATTTTCCCTGTGTTGCGCTCTTACAGGCATTTAGCTGTCAGGCGCTTGCAGAACTTAATGGAGATTTTGTAAAAGGTGCTGGCTCTGTTTTTTCTAGGTGTTACACCAGACTTTTCCTCAGCATACGTTCTTGATGAATGGCCTGATTCATGGAGTCAAGGTAAGGAATATCTCTTCTGGTTTTATAGACACATGCAATAGATGAGTCTGAGTGCGTGGGCTTCCATTTGAACCTGAGATCATTGCAAGAAGTGACAAGCCATTATAACCCATGTCACTTGCTGTTGTAAACCAATATTTGACAGATAAACATCTGTATTTCGGTGTGGGGAGCCCACTGGCAAATTCGATGGAAAAAGAAGAATTGACAGAGCATAAAAATTGGGTTGCTTGCATAGTAGACCTTACCAAGTAGTATTAACAGCATACGTCTTTAACTTTTTTTTTTTAAGGCTATCACAGCTGTGTTTATTTTGGTTGAAAATATTTTTAATCAGTCTGAGATGGCCCTGTAACCACATTCTGGAGGGTAACAAAATAAAAAGTTCATGATATCAGAACTTTTCAGTAATAGAAACTGAAACTATGCTGGCTCGAAGAGTGGGCTGTCCCCACATAGCAGTAGGGAGTATGCTGTGGTACAGTAAATGGGTGCAGTGCCTTTGGACTAGGCCAGCATTTCCAGACCAGGATTTGAGGCAAGTATAGCTAATGAGCAATGGTCATGCATTCTGACTCAAGGGAGCGTGGCAAAACTAATTGTTAGGCCTTGGCTCTAGCAAGAGGTTCCCCAAGAAAAGGCCTCAGTGAGGTTTCCTTTGATGTGACTTGGGCACTCCTGTATACACTTAAAGGTTCTTACCTATCTGTCTCAGTTTGAAAGTCATTGCATAGTTTGAAAGACATTATGGCCTTGGCATCTGTTCAGGACTGTCTTGTCTCCACCTAAAAGAGAAAGCTTTCCCTAGAACCGTAGCAGATGTTAATGTGATAGAGCTATGCCAACATCTTTTTAGGTACTGGCAGGGCAACTCCCTGCTGCACAAGGCTGCCTGAGAAGACCACAGCTGCAGGCCAAGCAGTTGCAGAGAGAGGGAAATGACTGAAGTATTTAGCAGCATTGAGCTGATAGAGTTTTTCTCAGTAAAGGATGTCAGCAGTTTTAATTGTTGTGTTTAGGTAACGTTTCCTGCTTGTAGAAAATAGGAATGGATTGCCTCCTCACACTTTATCTTTGGACAATGTTACCAAAAGCTCTTGCTATTGACAGTCTAAATTTAAAGTGAGGGATTTCTCTCTGTAATCTTGTCTGTCTTGTCTTAGGGCCTGCTTTCTTTTCTAAGTGCCCCACTGATTGGTGCTCTCTCTGACGTCTGGGGCAGGAAATCCTTCCTCCTCCTCACTGTGTTCTTCACGTGTGCGCCAATTCCCCTTATGAAGATCAGTCCGTGGTGAGTTTACTCCCCTCGTAGCTGAGGGTTTCTGAGAAGAGGAATCAGCATGAAGCTGAATGGTGGAGGATTTGCTGGTGTTGCATTTAGAGATGATGGAAGTGTCTTGTGCACTGGAAAAGGAGCCTGAGGGTGTACCGTTTCATCAGCCTGGATGCCAATTTACCTGTCCTGTTCTACCAGATGGCTCTGTTTCAGGAAGAAAAAAATATTTCATGCTTCTCCTAAGGTCTGTTCTCCCGATAAGCACATTATTGCTATTAAAGCATGTTAACGTTTCCTTGCTGTGTAGGAAAATAAGCCATAAAACGTAAGGGCCACAGGACTGAAGTTAAGTGTTTTTGAGCACTTTGTGATGCAGTGAAAGAGTATGGACTGAAGGAGGAATATGGGGAAAGGTTCTAATTCAGCAGCTGTAGACTCTGCCATGTGGTTGGTCTCTAACTTTACCTTTGGCAACTCCCGTTCCAGGTGGTATTTTGCTGTCATTTCCATGTCTGGAGTCTTTGCTGTCACCTTTTCTGTGATTTTTGCCTACGTTGCTGATATCACACAGGAGCATGAACGCAGCACAGCATATGGCTTGGTAAGGAACTGAGTAACTGGCTTACCTCTTGAAGGAAATATCTAGCGCTTCAAGGTTAGGAGAGGTGTAAAATTAGGGTGGGAGATCTGTTGGCAACTAGTCTTAGGAGAGTATCAGTGAAAAGACAGGCACTTCATAAACAGCACACTGTCCTTGTTTCTGCTTCTGTTCTTGACTTAGCACTGAGAGCGGGCTGGTTTCTGAGATCTGAATTCCAGATGTGTTGTCACTTAAGTCTCTTCTCCAGCCTGCTCTGTGAAATTCTTTGCACCGGTAAAGGGGTCAGGAACTGTAATGCTGTCATCCATATGAGTAGCTTGTGGTCCTGCGCGTTCTGTAGGGTTACTGAAAGTATCATTTATGAAGTGTTAAGATAGCTTTAATTTTCCTGTGCTGGATCTTGGCCTAGATTGTACCAAGAAGGGGACATGTCATCTTTCTATGTACAGGAGGCCCTGTCCACCTGGATCATCCCTCTCAGAGGTGGTGAAACTGATACCCTTGAATTGCTTTGGAGGAGAAAACAGGCTCTAGCAAGAGGCTGCATTAATGTTTTATGCTTCCAGGTGTCAGCCACATTTGCTGCTAGTCTGGTCACAAGTCCAGCAATTGGTGCATACCTTTCCCAAGCCTATGGCGATACACTGGTGGTTGTGCTAGCTTCAGGTGTTGCTTTACTGGATATTGGTTTCATCTTGCTGGCTGTGCCAGAATCTCTGCCAGAAGAAATGCGCCCAGTCTCCTGGGGAGCTCCTATCTCTTGGGAGCAAGCAGACCCGTTTGCTGTAAGTAATCTTGCTGCTGTTTGTTTTCTGCACCCAGGTAATGTTTATGTATGCTTTAGTTTTGCTCTTTTCTCTTAAAAGAAAGATGCATTCTGATTATCCCTGCCAAAGGTGCAGTGTCCAACTGATAACAGGCTATACTTATCAAAAAGCTGTCTAGCAGCTGCTGACTTTTTAATATAGCTTTGTAACTTCTAAAACCAGCTTCAAGTATCCCTGAAGCAAGATCTTTTGGTGGAAATGTACCAGTTGCTTGAATATAAGTTTCATTACCTAGCAGTAGTACTGTGTCAAGAGAAGCCTTCTATGTTGCTGGCTTTTTAGGACCCTTACTAAAGGTGTTAATCTCTGCATAGATTTCCTTCAGCTTTGCTTGCTGGAGAGGTGGTGTTGGCAGTCTGCAGGGAAGGAGGGGAAATGCTTTTGATCAGCAAAATTCACTTCTTAGATATAAGGTGGTAACTTAAATGCATGAGAATGTGGATGAAATGAAAGGGAATGAGGGAATTTCATTAAGACTGGAGTAACTGTGAACTTGACTGGGACACAGAAGCCAACGTTTTGCCTCTCTTGTGGTGAGTTAGCTTTGCTGATGTATTAGTGAAGTGGAGTTGCTGCTGTAGGTGTGCTCTCTTGAGAGCTGGTTGCAGAAACCTGACGCAACAGTAGCAACAGTTCTTGCTGCAGCAGATATGATCGCTGTTCAAGGTAGAAGTGCTTGATGTTGCTGATTGTCAGGCTTGTCCTGCTTCCTGCAGCAAGTACTTCGGTTTTCATTTCTCTATACTTGGAAAATATTTAAGGATATTGCCTTCTCTCTCTCTTTTTTTCTTTTTTTCCCCTTTTCTACAGTCCCTGCGGAAAGTGGGTCAGGATTCTACGGTGCTGCTCATCTGCATCACCGTCTTTCTCTCCTACCTTCCTGAAGCTGGCCAGTACTCCAGCTTCTTCCTGTATCTGCGACAGGTCAGTCTCTTGCAATAAGGAAAGGCTCTGAATGCAAAAACCCCTGGCCTAAAAATATTATCTTAGGTGCAGGCGCTGGAAAAGCTGATCTTGGCCAATAACTTTAGTAGAGTTGAAGCCATAAGAAACAGTGACATATTCCAGCTTTTGTAAAAAGTACAGGAGTTTGGTGACCACTTCAAAGGCACTGCCAGGACACTTGCTTGGCTTCTTACTAGCTGTTTGCCTGTCCCTCTTGCCTGTGTCACTTTCAGGCATTTAAGGCGTACCTATTGATTTAAAGCTACTACTTTAGCCAATAGCCAATGGAAAATATTCTATTTTATTCCTGTGGCAGCACTGAGGTGGTGGGAGGTACAGCTGATTAACGTTTAAGCACCTGATAAGCAATGTCAATAAACATTATTGACTCTCTGATGGAGTGGTTTCTCTCATATGCTGCAAGTCTTTTGCCTGAAAAGTCCCTTTCTGGTATTTTCACAGGTCATTGGTTTTTCCTCAGAGACTGTAGCAGCCTTTATTGGTGTAGTTGGAATTCTCTCTATACTCGCCCAGGTGAGAAGGAATTCCTGGCTATAATCCAGCAGTCTGTTTGTAAGAATGCCTTAAATTGTTGATAATCAGGGCTGGGATGGTGACTTAAGCATCCTCAGTCCCATGCATCTAAGGTCCCTGTATTATCTTTTGAATGTAGCTCTTTGTTGCATAACAAACTGGTAAACTTCTGCATGTTGGACATCCCCATGTTGCTCTGTAAAACTCCACAGACTGTGGAAAGGGAAGCGCCAGTTTCAAACAGAATGCTTATTGATATAATCCTATCTTTCCTACCCTCAATTAGAGCCAGGGTTGCTAGTGCAGGTCCCTTCTGCATTTCTGCATAGTCCCTGTGTAACTAACTCTTGCGAATAGAAGGAGAAATTGCAGTGTTTATATGGAAAAAAGGTTCCACACTTAAGTAGCAAGCATGGATGAAGATGGTACAAAAGAGTTAAAGATAATAGAAAGAAGCTTTTTATGTAGTGTACCATTGGAATTAAATTCTCAGAGGACAGTTTGAATGAGAATTAGTAGAGTTCTGGTTTGATGAGCCATAACCGACCAGAAACGAATTGAGGCTTTTATCACTAGCCATGCTTTGTGGCCCTTGTGAAGCGTTATCAGAATGCTTTGTTGGCTGTGGAGGAAAGCGTGTGCATAATAGAACAGTCTCACAGTGGCAAGGGTTCCCTCTAATTCCTGTCCTCTTCTCTTCCAGTGTTGTCATCTTTCTCTGCACTTATTTGAAAGCACCCATTTTTCTTTTATTTCCAGACAGTAGTGTTGGGAATTCTCATGCGTTCAATAGGAAACAAAAACACCATCTTATTGGGATTAGGCTTCCAGATCCTGCAGCTTGCCTGGTATGGCTTCGGATCACAGCCTTGGTAAGAGTTTGCCAACGCTTGTTTAACGGAGTTGGCAGGTTTCTTCCTCCTCGGTACCTCTGTGGCTCTGTGATGCGCTCAGTCCCCCGCCAGAGGGAGATGCTTGTCTGCTGTTCGATGTTGATCTGTAGCTGATCCCTTGGGAGCCTGCCTTCTAATTTCTGCCTCTCTCCCCACTAAGGATGATGTGGGCAGCAGGAGCTGTGGCTGCTATGTCTAGCATCACGTTCCCAGCCATTAGTGCCATGGTATCTAGAAACGCTGACCCTGACCAACAGGGTAAGTTAGAGTTACTGATTTATCTCATGGGTTAGTTCATCTAAGCAGGCGTTCAGACTGAGAAATATTTTAATTGTCCCCACTGGTGGGGAAGGAAAGAGCTGTAATAACATCTGTGTCAACTATAAAGCATATCTTTATTCTTAGTGGTATTGACCCTGTCTTGCCTTTGACCATACTTGATGCTTTGGGAGGAGATTCTTAAATTATGCACATAGACAACTGTTCAATGTTGCCTGCTCAAAGTAGAGAGGGGGCTGTTGTTTAGTCATTTTTCTGCTTCACGGTTTAACAGAGAATCCTCAGATTTGGCTGCCTTCAGTTTCAGTTCAGTTGGAAGTTGTTGCGCGATGTACCCATGCTCATTTTATTCTAGAAAGTAGCAAGCCAGCCCAGCATTACTGAGTTTGTAAAACCTGTTATTAAGCTAAGCTAATCATCAGCTAACCACTTCATCTGTAGAGTGTGTGTCAATCTAGATCTAAATGTTTGATCCTGTCTTCAAACATAAGCACCCTTGAAAAAAATGAGTTTTTTTTTTTTTCCAGAAAGCTGGATGCTTATCTTTCTTTCCTCTCTCCGTCCCCAGGTGTAGTTCAGGGGATGATCACTGGAATTCGGGGTCTGTGTAATGGACTGGGGCCAGCTCTCTATGGCTTTGTCTTCTATCTCTTTCATGTCGAGTTAAATGAAATGGCTGAGGTGGAAACTTTAGGTAAAGCCCCAAAACCCAACATGGCCAACCCTACAGATGAGGTAACACATTCAGCTTTATCATTCAGTTTGTCAGTCGTCTTCTGTCAGTACACTTGCAGCATTAATTGTTCCTCTGCTTTGCCCTACAGAGCAGCATTATCCCAGGGCCTCCTTTCCTGTTTGGGGCATGTTCTGTCCTGCTGTCGCTCCTAGTGGCCTTGTTCATTCCAGAACACAACCTTGCACTGAGATCAGGCAGCCACAAGAAACATAGTAATGGAGCCCAGACCCACAGCCCACAGGCTGGAGGATTGGATGGCAAGGAACCCCTGCTCGAGGACAGTAGTGTATGAGGTTGGGAGAGAAGAGCCTGGCTTGTGTCTCAACTCCAGATCAAGAAAGGACTTAGCCAGTTGGAGTTTGGGGAGAGAGAGGGTGGGGGGAGAGAAGAAACGAGGTAATGGACTGTACTATCAACAGCTAATGAGAAGGGAAACAGTTTCCCTTCAAGCCAAATATATCCAGCTGGTGCAAAAATGGAATTGTATCATCTGGTGCTGATGGAAAGGGGAGATACTGAACTGCACTACCTGAAGGAATAGTTCTTTAAAGCAAACCTGCTCTCGTATGTGGATACTGAACTTCATGATGTGACCTGCCAAATACTCAACTTGCCAGTGAAAAATTAAGGAACTAGCTTTGTCTTTGTTATAATGTGAACTAACTGATCTGCCAGCAAGAATAAAGCAAGGCATCTGTTACATGCCCTCCATCCCCTTATAGAATTGGTACTCGCTACTGATCCCATCACAGCTCCATTGGCAAACCTTCTCAGGCCTGGGAGGGTGGTGAAAGATGTGTTATGCAGTATACGCAACTTGTACTGCGATAATACACTATGAAGAAAGTGGCACATGTATGAAGAATAAATAATATAGTCAACAACTTTGAGTAGATCCTCACTGCTTGAGGAGCTGATGAATTTGTCCATTCCAGCCCAAGTGAAACTCGAACAAAAAATAAAAAGACTTTACTGTTGTGATGAAGGTAACAAAAGTTAAGAAGTAAAGTTGCAACTGAGACTGTCCTTAGTTCACAAGGGAGAATGGACAGATGGTGGAAAGGCAATTATATGAATTACAAATGTTTAGATGGTTGACAACACTTGTATTTCTGGTTGGGCTTGGTTTTTTTCTTTTTTGTTGAATAGTTACGCTAATGTAACACTTGTCTGCAGTTACCTCTAGAGGGGAATTGGAAGGTTTTGGGTGGGGGGGGTGGTCTCTTTCTGGAACTGGAAAGGTTATTTAGAAAATATAGTTCCTTGAGAGGTTGGAGAAACAACTAAACTCTGCTAAGCACTTTGATAAAGCATAGTTTCCTGAGAACAGTCAGAGAAATAGCTGTTTATCTTGAGCGCTTTTATAAAGCTTGCTGATTTCCCCCCCCCCCCGCTTCTCCTCCCCAAATGCTGCCATCTGATGTTAAAACCAGGTAATAACTGTAGCTTGTTTTGCTCGGTCCAAAAGATCATGATGATGTTTACAATTGACTTGAACTTACAGGTTTGGATTCCATGTAGCATTTCTGAGCCTGCTATGAACGCTTTCATTTTGTTGAAAAATGAAATTGCAGCCTCAGCTGCAGGGTTCAGCTCAGTTTAGAAAGATGCTTGAACTTGAGTGTGTGGAAAAAGCTAAGAGAAATATATACGAAAGCTTCATTTTTTTGTCGATATATAGAGGTATTGTGAAGTGGACAGGAAACAATTTTTCTCATTTGGGTGAGATCAGAAGTAATGTGATTGAGCAATCTCTGGGGAAGTAAAACCAAATTAGGAACACTTAAGAAATTAATTGCTAAGGGAATTGAGGATACAATTGCCAAAAATAGTCCTGCCTCAGAGTGGAGTATGTGTAACAGCTGTATTGTTCTCTGACTGGGATCATTTATCTGTAGATTTGTGACAAGTAACTTAGGGGAGAAAGGCCAAAGGGAGTACTGTCACTTGATGTCTTGGTTGTTTGTGAATAGGAAATCACGGCTGATGTTGTGCGTATGCAGCAGTGTTCACAGATGCCATTTGCTTCTGGATTTAATGAAAAATACCAACTGGACAGCCCCGAAGATCCCAGTGCCCTGACTCGCAACAGCCCAAGTATAGGGACCAGCACAGCAAAATCCCTGCTCTGCTCTGACTGTGCAGCTCGGCCCTCTCCTGGAGCGTCCGCTTCACGAGAGCAAAGGGATGTGGTCTCCAGGGTACACTCAGCTTCTGACCTCTTCCCTGAGCTCCTCTTCCCTCTGCTTGTCAGAGCAGAGACTGGTTAATGTTCACTTTGGATGGATCTGCATTTTCATGTAAGTCACTTAAAAGCCCGTCAGATATTAACAAGCTTGGAATCACTGCTTGCCTAGGCTGGGCTGAACTAATAACGTAATGTCCGTTTACCAGTTTTCTGAAACAATTAGTTATTGGAGGTGGCCATTTAAATGAAATGATTCAGAGTTTGTTTAGTGTTAATCTTGCCTGGTACCTAGATCCTGTAATCAGAACTGAAAGAGTAGACTCTTGTCTGTGCGGAGGGCAGTTACCGAGGGCAGTATGAGGATGTGAGGCTTTGCTTATATGGATCTAACTGCAGGACTGGAGAACAGAGCTAGCAAAAAGTTCTACTCACCTATGGTGACTCCAGTTTTCTCATGCTTATGGTGGCGATGCCCCGAATTTTCAACTGTTACTGGGATAGTCTGTACTGCGTATGCACAGCAGACTTCTTTCCTGAAGGAAAACCACTTGTTTAAACTTCTACACAACCACCCCAACTCTGTACTGCTCACAGAAATGACTTTTTAAAACTGAAGTTTAACAAGCAAATCTGCCAATTCATTTATTTACACTATGTATGAAAATCAACTTGAGTACTTTGTCCCTCACACAAAAATGAAGTGAAACAAAACACTGAATAGTTACCTCATTCACACTGAGGCACTCAGAACTTCACGGGTAAAATAGAACGTTACAAGAAAGACAAACATAATTTATATAATATAAATTATATATATATATATATTTTTAAGAGTCCTTTCCTTTATTTAATAGTTTATTGAAACCAATGTGTTTCTAATGCATTTCCCTTTTGCCACTGCTGCTGCCTGAGGCTTCTCAGCCTTTTGTTCCTCGGACCATGGAGCTAACCAGGCGAGCTTCGCTTCTCGGTCCTTTTCTGTCATGATGTGATACCCCAGTTTCCAGTAACACTTGAATTCCTCAGGTTTGTTACTAGTTAACCTAAGTGTTTTAGAGCAGTTAAAAAGTCCTTGAACTTGGAGCCAGAAGATGTAAGCAATTTTGCTGTGTCTTGGCTGCGGTCTGGCCGTTCGTGCCAGGCTCCAGCTCTGAAGAAGCTGGTTTCTTCAGCTGCCTGGTCTGCCTTTGTATGTCTTTACGATATCGCTATCCAGGTTAAGAGAGTACAATTTTATGTAGTTATACCAGTAAAAGTTACACTGTGGATGCAGTTATCGGTGTAAAGGTGGCACGCTTGCATAGCTATCCTTAGCTGTGCTGGTGTGGGTGGCCTTTCACTGATACGGCAGTTCCTGCTGGAGCAGCTGTGCTGCTTCAAGTCCGGACGGTCCGTGGCAGGTCTCGGGCCTGGGTAGCGCCTGCAGTGTAATGATTTACTCTGGAAACTTGAGTGCCGCGTGGTGACAGGACGGCTTGCATTCCCCCGAAATTCCACTTGTTACTAGCAGCGGAAACGGACAGCAGTTTGTTTCCGCACTTTTGGAATTTTTTACCTTATTCGGTAGGGGAGGGCATCTTAACCAAACGTTAATGTAGGGACGCGACCCACCATTCTGCCTTTTAAGTGAAAGAGAAGGACTTGGGCCAAGCTGTGGAGGAGCTGAAATTACTGGACCTGAATGAAGAATGTTACTGTTCTGAAGGGCTGGTAATTTTTGCAGCATTCCCTGTGGAGACTGGAAAATCTGTACAGAGCATTCAGCTAGTTTTGACAATTTTTGTTACTTTATAACAAAAAGTGACTTTTTTTTTTAAAGAGCCTTTTCTTAAAATCCCCTTGATCTGCTGAGTAATGACTGATACTGGCTGTGTAACATCAGTGTTCCCATAATTTGTCTGCAGTGGGTTGTAGTTCAGGTCAGTAACAGCAACACCCCAAACATAAGGCAAAAATTGGCTTAATTGCCCTTCTGCAGCTCCAGTATTAATTGCAGCAGTTCAAGAAAGTTTAAAAACTGATCTCTTTGCATTAAAAAGAACAATGCATTAAAACATTACTTTCTCTTTTGCCGTTACTTTTGCAAAATAGTAACTTTTTACTTCACTGGGTTTTATTCTTTTCTCTGCGCTTGGATGGCTGTGAGCATCTTTGGTTATCTTCAAAAAAGCGCGGGCATGTGGCAAGCCCACGTTCATTGAAGAACGGCAGTACCTCTGCTCTTTCAGTTAAAGTTTGTTATTGCGTGTGTTTCTGGGTTTTGTTTGTTTCTTAAGCTAATGATGGAATGTATTTATTTTACTTCAAATTGTGTTTAGAACCGGCTAATCTCTCCCTCTGATGGATTATTTATTAAACTGCTACTTTCCTGTTGTTGTGAAGCTCTCTGTTCTCGTTCTTCTCCTCCCATCTGTTACAGGGCATCTGGTCAAAAGTGTCTCTTGTGCTTCTAGGCAACATGCCTCTTGGTCCTTGGGTTAACTGTGCTAAAGGGATTCTTGCAAGAGGCTACACGTCAGGCGCTGTAAATCTGTTCTGTCTTTAACAGACACGAGCTAAATCATTCTAGTACAAAAACTTACTTGAAACCAATTCAAATTCTCCACTGATCCTAAAACAGCTATCCAGGTATCCACCAGAGTATTAAAAGAACTGTATCTTCACAGCTCTAACTTCTTTGGTGCTTAAGCATACAAACTTTTCTTGAGTCACAAACCTCCTGAGCTCATGCTGTCTCTCTCTGTCTTACTGAATGCATGCGGAGTGCTTCTGCAAAGAGGGAGGGTTTCAGGCAAAGTGTGCGATGTAATGCTTGGAATGCAAGACAAGCCTTCAGACTCATAGTGAGCAAGAAAATGCTCTGGATGAGTTAGTCTACTGCATTTCGTGCGGTAAATGCCTTAGTGGCCTAATTTATCGCATTTCACAGGTCAGGACACGTCAGCTCTGGTTTGTAGGACGTGGGTAAGGCTACCTGCATCCGCCCTGACCCCCAGGAGCCTTCTTTTGTGACGGGATGGGGGCTGAGGCCGTAAGTTAGTCTCTGAAACTGTTCATTTCCAGCTAGGCCTAATTTAGATCTTATCTCATTCATTTAACTTTTTTTTTTTTTTAGTGTTTGAGGATGGTACTAATGCAAACAATATAATCACAAGAAATATAAACAAATCCAAGTCAACTCTTGGACGGCATCTGTTGCTTGATGGCTGATATCCTGTAATGAGCTGGAAAAGCAAGCCATTTATTACAAAATAATAAATGCATTTTGCATTTATTTCCTCTGGACTTCTGAGCTTATTCTGTCTGCCCCCCGGCCATTCCTTGAGCAAGAACCCTCAGCTCGTCTCCCTTTGCATTGGTTTGGCTGGAGAGAAAAGGGAAGGTGTTTATGTACAATCACAGCCTAGAGTTCAAAAGGGGCTTTTTCAAAAGAGCTGGAGGGATTTAGGCAGCAAAGTAACTTAAGCTCTGTGAGAGTCTGATACTTCATTACAGCAAACTTCAGAAGGACTTTGGTGCTGGCTAACTACCATCTTGCTTGCCATTGCCTATTGGCCTTTATTTGTGAAAACTGTTGCTTTCGTTCTTTTGATCGAAAGCTTATTTTTGTAGGAATGGTGCAGTGATGGGCTAAACCGCCTTTACGGAGTAACCTTGTGCATCCTGTGGATGCCCCTGCCTGCTCATGGGATTTGCCTGTGCTGTGGGAACTCTGCTCAGGAACGGAGAGCCGACTGGCTGCTGGTACTTGGTCGTCAGCCTTAGCTCAACTCCTGCGTGTTTCTGGTTGACGGAGGGTGCCTGGGGAGCTGACGCTAACGGAGTAAAAATACTCGGGGAGGGAGGAAGAGATGGAGCTGAAACCGCTTGACTCGCTCACCCAGCGAGGGTGTCCGATCTGATTTCCCCAAGGGAAAGCCCTCGCTCCGTTCTTCGGGAGCTGTCGGGGCTCTGGGCTCGACAGCGTCCTTCTCGGCTCGGTTTTCCTCCCCTTCCCTCCCAGGGAGGGTTTGGTCGAGGTTCCCCTCTCGTTAACGGTCTGATCTCTTCCGTGATGCCTGAGTTGAGAAGTCCAATGCTGTAACCCTATCTCACCCTCAAAATGAAAACCTTTAAGTTTCTGCTGCCCTCCCACTGGGCTACGGGGCCCTTCAGCAAGAACCACGGTCAGGTCCGGTTCGAGCAGCCGCCAAGCCCGGGGGGGGGGGGGAATGGGCGCAGGGACGGCCGGTTCCCCTCGGGAGCCCCAGGGCAGCTGCTGGCAAAAGCCCTGGCCTGAGCGCGAGCGTGCTTTGTATGGGGCGGAAAGCCTTGATCTGGCTCCAGCTGCCCCCCTTCACCTCCACGCTTTTCCTTTCTGAGGCTGGGCGTTGGTGAGCGAAGGCGATGACGGCCCCGCGCTCCCCCAGGCCTGGCGGGCTCTCTTCTCCTCCAAAAGGTGCCAGAGCTGTTAAAGTTGGCAATCCTGACAGTGGGGATTTATTCAGTTTCCATAGCTGTAATTTCTTCTGAATCTGCATTGCTTATTCGCCTGCGCTGCGGAGGCCACAGCAGCTCCGAGAAATGCTGTATGCAAATCTCCAATCACTCATAACTTTAAGTGTTCTGCAAATCCCAAATCAGAGGAAGGACGTTATTAAGCACATGAGTTTCGGGTAGTTATTAATCTTTCAATGATCTGTTGGAGAAAGTTTCTTTTTTTAAAAAGGCCTCCTACAGACGTGCTCCACTTTTCATTTCAGGGTTGAAGCAGCAGGGTTGGGCTCGGTGCGCGGCATCCAGGGGGTCGCAGAGCCGGCAAGGGGGCCCGGGGCAGAGCGGGAGGCGTGGGCCGTGTCCTGCACGGTGGAGCAGCCCCGGGGGCCCCCGAGCG